AACGGCCAAAAGAGGATTTATGTCATGTTCTTCTAGGAAAGATTGCACGGCTGCGCGAAGAACACGTAATTTCCGCGGGGGCGTGGCACGAGTGATAAAGTATTGCCAATTCTTAGCGTACACCATGACCCGACGTCCCGGTAACGCAAAGGGCGACACCCTTCTTGCAAACCGCAGCAACCTGTTCCTATAACTCTCAGATGTATCGCTCCCAGAAGGCTGAAAAGGGGGAGAGCCGCCTGAAGCGTACCGAGGCGAAGTAAACAATTCCCCCTCGCGTATATCGTCAACAGTGATTTTCCCACCTTTTAGCAAAGACGCCATAAGAAAGAACGCGTCAACAAGACGTGGGGATGGATAGCTACGGTCCAAAATGCCAGGGATTTTCGCCTCATCCGCCCACAGACGTGAGGCCTCCCGGAGAAGAAAAAAGGTCCACTGCGTGCGGCAAGGCGCCCTACCGCTTTTCTCCACGCATGAACGAGCACCAAAAAAGCGTTCGGTCGTGAAACAAATGTATCGCTGCGCCGCCACACCGCCCCGAAAGGCACTCATGGCAAGAAGCACAAGACTCTCAGATGACAAAAACCCAGACCTCGTGAAGTCAAACAACGAATCCAGAGGATCACCACGCCTTAGAGCGTTCATCAACAAATCCTTTGCCGGCCAATTCTTATTCTTTAACATTACAAGCTTCTCATTGTGACTGATGTTACCCACAACAAAATTATGCTTCACATCCTTGGGTAGCTCAGCCGTTGCGGAGAAAAACACCGCAGCGCTGACCTCCAAGGCCAAAAAAGCATACTTGGCAGCCATATCGTACTGGAGTCCATTTAAAAGGTGAATATAGGCCAGCAGCACCAATATTCTGTGGACCACCTCATGAATTTTCTTTGAACTTCTTATTAGCCGTAAACTCGGGTGCAGTTTGAATCCACTCGTTGCATTGAGAAGTCCACAGGGTCCCATGGAAATCCCACTCCTTCGAAGCAGGTACAACTTCTGGAAATGTTCTTCGCATGCGCCGCCCCCGCCATCTTCCGAAAAATATTTTTTATCCAATTCCTCCAAATGTGGTGCATCGCACGTGTACCGCAGTTTTCGAAGCAGTAGCAAAAGAAGACACTCAGCACGTTTTAAATCCCGGGGCACTCCCTTAATCCCAGCAATGTGCAGCTGCGCCAAGAAGATGTTTTGCAGGATGCTCAGGGGAATCTCATCTGGGGGGACGCTGGATTCCGTATCGTCTTCCTCGTCAATTTCCGAACGGAATGCCTTGATACGATTGCGCGTGAGAAATGGTTCATTGACTAATCTCCAACCATTTTCTTCCGCAAAGAATCGCTCAAACCGTAACAGCCTTTGCGACGACGGTACCGCCTCCCCCGAGCTTTGCGCGCGTACGCTCATAACTTGTCTCCAAAAGTAGGCGTGCTTCTCCAACAGCAGCGTGGACAACAGCACTGCCGCTACACGACGTTGTTGCTGGGCTAAAATTCCATGCTCCTTCATCGTTGCAAGGGCAGCTGTGGCACGTCGTGAACCGGCACGTGAGGCGTCCCAAATGTGTAGATACGCGTGTCGGGCACGATCCCACCAAACCGCACTTAATTTATTGACTCCCGCATTTGCTTCCGGCGTGTGATCAAGAATCCCAAGGACGCCAGCAAAGAATTTCATTTCCGCAACCACTTTCTTGGATGGAATACACAATTCAGCACAGGTCGAGAATACGCCCCGATCCACGTCATCCAAGACAGTTTCAAAAAGAAGGGAAAAGTAGTTCACCGCCGTGTCGTTGAAGTCTGTGGTGCTCAAGAGGACGTTGTGGTACAAGGCATGCAACTGCACGACAGATGCGGCAGACCCGGTGTATCTCGTCCAGTTCTCAAGTGCCTCAACACCCTCGCAGTAGGAAGAACAGCGAGAGTGGCACATCTCATGTTCCTCGTGGCGGGCGAGGTCCTCCAGGGAATAAAAGACGTCCCCACAGACTTTTTTTTCTTTTTCTCGAAGATAACGCATGCGTCTTTCAGTAGGCAGCACTCGCTGACTTTGCAGCGTGTGTATCGCGTGACGAATGTTTTCACACCGTCCCGCGCGATGTGCAAAAGAGG